TACGATGATTTATTCAATTACCGTGTCACAAATTGTCATTTTTCCTCCACCCTTTCTGCAATCAGTGACAGTACCCCAACAAGGCCTATCATAGTTGTAGTTGCGATAACTATCCCTTTTCCTTTCATAGGTCATTGGGCCTAGGGTCTCACAGGTTTTTTTACACGAATTCTTGTCACTTATATCTGCTTCATTCACAACGTATGTATGGAAGAGTTCATCGAACTCAACATAACTTATTCCTGAAAGTATGAGAAGCAGTGAGAACTGCGTGGTATGATGATAAGGGAAATTACCTTTTTTAAATCCGCCCTTAGGATCACAGCGACGGATAGCGTTCGAAGCTAGTTTCATTGCTTCTTTCGTGGCCAATAAGAAGTCTCGTGTCCTCATGGTGAATCCTGCCTCAATTTGGGTAACTTCTGCCTTGTACTTTCCTGTATAGCAACAAATGATGAATCACAAGTGAACTGCGGATACGATTCTTTGAACATCTGTATGATACCTTTTTCGAAGATTGGCCGCAATCCATATGACCAAGCAGCCATAACAAATCCTCGTAATTCAGTAAGAGCAACAGTGTAATAAATTTGATAAATTACTTGTTGATGTGAGTTTCCTTCATCGCAGGTCAGAATCTCATTTTCCTGTGATCATTTCCCATTACTCAATTTACTGTTCTGTCAATCGAAAGGAGGACGAATAAATGTTCAACTTACCCTTTCGTTCTTCAACATTGTAAGGAACAAACTATCACGGATATGTGATGTCCTCAGCGGGACAATTAATCGATGCATTTGGCTAAGCAAAGTCTGTAAACCGAGTGCCTGCTCTCCGGTCGTCGTCCGGATGAAGTCTTTCAAGGTGCCGTCGTTGAAATTCTTACGATTTTTCGAATATTTGAGGTAGTTGTCCCACATGTGATCAATGCTTACAATGATTTTGTGCAACTCCATGAAAGTTGTATCAAGTTTTTGAATAAGTGTAATTCTGGAAACGAGACTTTCCACAATGGCATCTAATCTCTGATCCAAGCGGGATTCGAACCCATCAATCTTATTCGATATTTCAGCCACCTGCGCCAATATTTTATCCAACCTCTCGTCAGGCTCCTCCGTTAATTTTTCGTATATATCATAGCCTGCTTTAATCTTACTTCCTACTTGGTAGCCAAACTTTGCGAGCTTCCACAAATCACTTAGGCTCGGCATTATAAATGGTGCCACTTGGACCAGTGGCACCAATATTATCAACCGAAATAGTAACATTTCGTTCAATTCTTATTTGCAAACTTAAGCGTAGATTGGACTTTATTCTCCACTTCGTA